CGACACATGCTGGTTTAATGTCCTTTTGTATTAACTGTCATATGTAAATTAAATTTTTGAATACTTTTTCTAGGACTTGAAGATGCTTCGTGACTCGCTTACCAATATAGTGGAAGACTACAGAGTGCCATTTCCCAAATTCAATCACGCCGACTTTATGTGGGCCAAAGACGTAGATGCGCTGGTGTATGAAAAAATACTAGAAATCATGGAAAAGAAAGTAAATTAGTAACGAATTATAATGCCAGAAAATTATAAATTTCGACCAAAAACAGTTTAACTTACAATATTTTTAGCCTAAAATACGGTCGCCTTAAAATATCTAATACGCGCGTTTAAATTATTATTTTTAACCATTATCACAATAAAACCGGCGATATAAACAGAGTGTGAAACCTAATATTAACCTAAAATGATTAGTTACAACATAATTTTGCGACTGCTGCATCGGATGCGAGGAACAGGATTGTAGTGCCCAACAGACGAATCAATGTTGCCGTTGAATGTCACGCTCGTACAGTATCGAATGAAGAAGCGGTCTTGCAAACCGTAAACAATACACCGACCATAAGTGTCCGCAAATTGAGTCAGGAGTTGGCGATATCGAGAAGCACAGTACAGCGCATATTACATGATAATCAATTTCACGCGTATCATTTTACGAAAGTGCAAAATTTGTTGCCCCAAGATTATATCTCAAGAGTAAGATTTTGTACATGGTTGTTAAATAACGAAGAAAATCAACCTGGTTTTGTGAGTAACATCCTATTTACTGATGAATCATGTTTTACGCGCGATGGAATATTTAATACACACATCTGGGCAAACGAAAATCCACATGGATATCATAAAAGTTACCAACATCGATTCACCATTAATTTATGGGCTGGTATATTAAACACTTTAATAGTGAGTTTTACAATTTTGTACAAAAATGTTTAAAGTTCCACGAATTTTATTTCTCACGTAACTATTTCAGATTGGTCCGTTTGAAATGCCTGCGAGACTCACAGGACAATTTTATAGCAATTTCTTGCAAACAGATTTATTAGAATTATTGGAGAATGTGCCGCTAAATCAAAGATTAGAAATGTTTTTCCAACATGACGGAGTGCCGCCTCACGCATCTATACGCGCGCGTCGTGTATTGGATGCGAGCTATCCGGATAGATGGATAGGCCGCGGAGGTGCTGTAAATTGGCCAGCGAGATCTCCAGATCTAACTCCGTTAGACTTTTTTCTTGGAGCTACAATAAAGAGAATATGTTTATTGAGAACGGATTAACAATTATGAAGAATTAAAAGAAAAATAACTAGAGG